TGGCGTCCCGATCAAGGGTGAATCGGGACGTGTCACTAGACCCTTGAAAATTGAATTGAATGAACCCGCGCAAATCGGGACACCTGGCAACACTAGCGGGGATCGAGCCTGGATTGTTCGCGTTTACGGCGAGCACTACGCCCTTGAGCTACTCAACTCAAGCACGGCTCATATGTTTTATATCTGGGGGCACGGCAGTGCCCCCGCCAAGTCGAGCAAAACAGCGGCACCGCCGTATCATCATTGAGAGACTTGGTTATTTTACAAGTTATGATTTTGATGGCATGTCTTTGTTTAATCATAACGTTATCTGCACACTAGGAATTTTTCCTAAGTACATCGTTGGGGCAGTTTAAATACATTAATTTCACAAGGACAAACATCCAAACCTGGAACAATTATTTGTAGGTAATACAAATTTTTGTTCCATGTGGGATTCGAACCTGCGGCGCTCAGCGCTACAAATCATTACCAAGTCACTCCGCCACGGAGCCAAAGGTGAAAGCCAACGATTTTGTATTTTTACTTGATCCGAATTGCTTACGTTCAATTACTCATTTCCAAAAAAAATATGTATGAAATGAAAATTTGCCACCATTACATCATTTAATATCTAAATATTACAATCATAAACATATTTCAAAATTACTTACTACCAAAAAATAACCCTTACAAAAGTGAATCGTTTAAAATGTTCGATGGTGCTATAGGTATCTAGTTACAGTATGGTGTAGTATAGCCCTATCGGTGTATCGGTCACGCGATCGCGCGGCGTCGGTGAGAAAAAGTAATACGTCCTATCGTTGGGATTACCCGGAGCGTACTGAATCGAACGGTGCCTGCGCATGATGTTTTATAGTATTTTTAAAATAATTATATAAAATAATTGACAAAATAAAACGAGCTAAAATTTTTTTTGGATATTTAACATTACATGTATTTTGATAAAATACTTAAAATAGATATGTTTATAAGCAAATACATGGAAAATATTACATTGAAGTAGACAGTTCTGGTGAATTTATAATATTATTTTATAATATGAAATCGAAATATTTTCGTAATTTAGGTTCTGCTATACACTAAAAGACTATATATTCCATTATAATTACGCTTAAAATAAAGTATTTTAGCTTATGATAATGGTTGTATTCAACCTGAAAGATAACTCTGATGCATATTTTCGTAAAACACTGTGAAGGGATTGTCTTCGCCCTAAAAACCGTCATTAAAAGCTATGATTTTGCGCTATGTACTAAATAAAGACTTCATCTTTGTAAAGCCCTAATTTTCAGAAAATAATCTCCTCACGTCGTTACGATATCGCCTTTGGAAAAACCATAAAACATGTAGTTTTCGACGCGAAACGCATATGCTCTCTTAAGGCGATACCTTCAGCGAACGACCTTGAGCGTTTGGTCTGTCGACGCTCGCTACAATATATCGCGTAACGGCGCCTCTACACGTTTGCCAACACAGTGGCGAATGTAGTGGCCAATAGCATTGGCCAACGTGTAGACGGGGTGTTTGGGCTTCATTATATTGGAACGATGGCCCGCAAGTTGGCGCGAGATCCGTGTGGTGTCGGTTTTTTACAAAAGATCAAAGGATTGTTGGCGGAGTTTGGTCGCCGCATCCACACGTTGGCCGAACGTTTAGTTTGCTACAAGCTCCCAGAGTGATTACACGCATCTGATTTAAATTTTATATTCAAGCTTTGTAGGGTGGATGCCCCAATTACCAGCCTTCTAGTGCCAATTTCAACTTTAAACATTCCTACTACTTTAATTAGCGCGATTTAATTATTATTGAACATTTGTTTTAATCAACAAGCTATTTATCAAAAAAATTAACATTTTTTTACAATCAGATTATTACGAGAACAATTTTAAAATGAAAAAAAAAATGAAGCACGTCGTTTATACGTGGTAGAACCATGCATTATTACATATTATAGATATATTAGAACATATTACATATATATTAGAAGTATAGTTGCAGCACGAAGGTCGGCTCGACCGGGGAAGGACCACGCTCTCACAGAATATCAGCGTAAAATAGTAGCTTAATGATGCTGTGTTTCGTATAGTGAGTGTAGAGAACCAGAGACCCTTTTTAAAGGAAACGAGGCATTTCATCTTAGTCCTCACGGGTGACAACGCATCTGCATTTTGATTCGTAATCGAGGATAGATGTAGGACTGTGGGCCACAGTAACCACTTACCATCAGGTGAACTGTGTGCTCGTTAGTGTCACACTATCCTATAAAAAACGTCGATTTCTTATAATTTAATCGTGCAAGTTTTCGAATCATCATCATCATTGCAGCTCTTCACAAGTCCACTACTGAACATCCTCCTCCACAGACTGCCGCAAAGCATGGTCCTGAGCCACTTTGCTCATTATGAGTTTTTCATTTATGTTCTAAGTTATAATTAGTACCTATTATTAAGTCAGTGTTAATTATATTTATTGCTATTGTTTTTGTCTTTTTAAAAAATAATTAAATTACCAAATAAATTATAAGGTGTTTTTTTATATACATCAAATGTCTGATTGAAATGCAAGTACATATTTTGCTAAACTTTAAAATCAAAACCCAATTTTAAAACATAGACTAATCGACTATAACTCCTTTAACTTTAAAATAAGTTAAGTTCTTATTAATGGTATTTATTCCAGTTTATTATGCATGTAAAGAATAAATAAAGCTAATCGTATATCTATTTACAGCCCTATTTATAACCACTATTATTTTATAATTCTTTTATAAAAACGTTAACCCCACACTAGGATTTTCTCCCGTATCACGCAGGCAGTTTACAAACATAAATTGCACAAGGACACACATCCAGACCCGAAACAATTATTTGTAGGACATACAAATACTTGTTCGGTGCGGTATCAAACCCGCGGCGCCCGGCGCAGCCACTCATTGCTGAGCCACTGCGCCACGGTGCTTATAAATTCGTCCGCACATTGGCCCGAACCGAAGTAAACATGAACGACCTTCCAACGTGTGGACGCCGTCACCAACTCTCGGCCAATATATTCGCCACTCCATTCGCCACTGTGTTGGCCAACGTGTAGAGGCGACATAAGAAATCGCCAAAAGACGCCACCTACTGCTACGAACGTAGTATTATTTTTTCAATGTCAATGAACTATTCTATGGAAATAGACACGGCGTACAATGATAAATGTATTTTAATTTTCTTTATTCGGTATATTAGTTGCATTATATTAGAATTATGTATTCTAATATATTATCTAATTAATAAAAATGACTGTTTTGCGTACTGCTAATATTGAATTAGCTTTTTATATGTAAATTACAATATTTGTCGAAATATTAATTATGGATTAGAACTTTACATCTAATTGTTATTTTCATTTACTTACATATGAAAAATATACTTGAATAGTAGTATTATTATTTTATTTAGCTACTGGTGTTTTACCACAATCTTTTATCTGCTATTCCTTATTTAGGAACAATATTAGTAAATTGAGTTTGAGGGAGATTTACTGTTTATAATGCTACATTTATTATTTTAATATTTACCTACTGGGTAGGTAATTATTAAAATAATAAATATAGCATTAGTAACTAAATAGATATTTTTTTTTAAATTTTTAAAATTAAAATTTTCGTATTTTTAAAAATTACTAAAAAAAAAGGGTTTGAAATAATAGATTTTCTCACAAAAGAAGGGAACTTGAAAAAAAAAGGAAAAAAAGCGGGACCAAAGCCAAGACGCGAACCACGGAACCCTAACGCCCGACCGACATACCACCTGACCTATAACGACCGTTACTGATTTGTCGAAATTTACCTTCTTATATTGTAGCAGTTTTTTTATTACCTGAAAACATGGACAAAAGGACATTTTCTAAAAATAAATCCAAGCGTTCGTCGCTAAAGTCGTTGGAGCCGTATAATTTTCTCATCTGGTTATTTAAATATATAAAAATTATAAATTAAAATGAAAAGATAAATATACATAAATATCAATAAAATAAAATAAATACAAAATAATATTATATTATTACTGTTATTATTATTACTGTTATTATTATTATTATAAGTTGTGGTTCGGTGAAGCTGCAACCTAATGGACCATGATCTGAAATTTTTATGAAAATAAGTGGCTGACGTCAATTATTATTATTCTTATTATTTTTTCATTACTGCCTTTTTCAACCTCACAAGATATTTGTAACTGCAAAAAAAGAAAACTACGTATAAGTAAGTAAATCAGTAATATAGTGTTATGTATGATTCAGACTAAATAAAGGTTCCTAAAAATAGACGTAGATAAAGAAATTGCATAAAAAATTACTCAAATAAAAATGCAATAAACTTGTTAATTTTATAGGTACTTAGTAAAATATTAAAATAATAAGTTTTTTAGGATATTTATGTAAAACATAAAGGTTATATTATGTTCTAACTACGTTCACGCTTGCGCATATAAAACCGCGGAATTTCACTAGTTTTATTATCAAAATAATAATTGACAACCCTACCCTAAGTTTGCCTTGATTTTACCAACTCAAACTCGTTTTAGGAGATCGAAACATAGAGAGAAAGACAGGAGACTATTTTTTATTTAATATGGTTGGATCTTTATTTATTTGTATATTTTTTGTATTTATTTTATTTTATTGATATTTATGTATATTTATCCTTTCATTTTAATTTATATTTATAAAAACCAACCAGATGAGAAAACTATACAGATACCCCAACAATAATAATATAATAATAATAATATTTCAATAAGGCGTAGGGAAGTGACGACCCCATCGCCCGCTGATATAACGGTTATGTGACAAAACCGCTACGTCGGCGCAGTCAGTCAGCACCTTGCCAAGAGGTGTTAGTGCCGTGCCTCGGTAAAAATTGAAGGTGCCAAGGCCCGCTTGTGCACATGGCCTAACCATGAAACGGCGCCGGGTCTGGGCGTCTCCCGCTAAATGACGCCCTAAAATGGATGATGGAATCAAATGGAACGCGCAAAGGGCCGCTGCCTGGAGGTCGCCAGAGCGCGTCTGGAGCTGGCGCTGGACGCGACAGCATGCGAACCGCCAGCCGAGCGCGAGGTGCTGCACGACCACCCAGCAGCTCCTCGCATCCATCATCCCCACCAGCTGGCTTGGTGTCGGCAGGGTCTTCGCGGGCTCAGCAATCGGCACCCGCCACTGGTGGAGTACGCCGCATGCGTTGGACAACCCAGATGAACAGCAACGCATTGCGGGCGTATTTTAGGGCGAAAGGGGGAGAAACTGGAGGTTTTGCGTATCGGGCAAGGATGCATCGACTTTTTGCTGAGCTGGAGCCATCTGTAACCGTCACCGAGCAAAACCTGGCAGACCGAGTTCGGTATATCTTGCGCTCAAATACATTTGATGTCACCGAACTCGAACGGCTACGACGTGAGGCTGTTCCTTCATCGGGTGAAAATGCTGCGGCTGAAGATGCGGCGCCACAACTTGCCGAGCAAAGGGCAAATGTGGATGCCGCCGTGAATACACCAGTTGTGGTTGATTCAAACGATGATGGAACAGTCGCCCAGGAACTGGAACTAGAGCAAATGAGGAGTACATTGGAAGAGGCGATTGTGGAAACGCGCAGTACGACTCTCGAAAATCGACCGCGACTTCCCCGCTTAGCCCTAAGCAAGCGGAATCGGGCTGTCGTGAGGGCTCTGAACCCAATGCTGGTTACCTATTTGGAAGCCAGCCGGGACCTTTGCGAGACGGACTCAATTCTTTTTGGCGCCGCACTGGCAGTCTGCCGTATTATAGGTGCCAAACTTTCCACGGCTGGACGCGCTACTGGACAAAGTAGTGCTATCCCAGCCTGGAGAATAAGAATTGAAGAACGTATCGCAAAGGCTAGGGCCCTCATCGGCAGACTGATATGCTTCAGGTCAGGCAATACCAGGCCAAGGATTGTGCGCACCGTCAGGATGGCGTTTGCTGGGACAAATGTTAGTTTGTCCCAGCTGGATATAATGCAAAAACTGACGGAGCGCATAGACGACCTGAAGCAAAGAATAGCTGCTTGGGGAAAGCGGATTCGGCGATATACCGAGAGGTCGACACGGTTCAACCAGAATCGTCTCTTCCAGAGTGATCAGAAGAGGCTCTATAAATCATTGGAGCGACCAATAGTAAGTGGAACGGGCCCTGCACCAAATCAGGCCGACATGGTCGCATTCTGGCGCAGCCTATGGTCAGAGCCCGTAAACCACAACGAGGGCCCTTGGACGGAAGTTGTGGCGAGTCAGTGTGCGAGTATTACGCCCATGGACCCCGTCATCATAACGCCGGATGACGTAGCTGAGGCGGTCCGTAGGGCCCCGAACTGGAAAAGTCCAGGGCTTGACGGGCTGCATCACTACTGGCTGAAGGGGTTCATGGTGTGTCACTCTGTGCTCGCCCGACAGTTTCAAGAGGCTCTCAACCAGAAGTCGCTCCCAAGCCTCTTCACTACTGGGATCACTCATTTGGTTCCTAAAGATCAGGGTGCCACAGACCCGAGCAAATACCGCCCCATCACGTGTCTACCGACCATATACAAGACACTAACATCCATTTTGAGCGCAAGAATCGCTCGTCACCTGGACTTAAATCAGGTGATGTCGCGCGCTCAAAATGGATGTCGGGGCGGCGGTCGTGGAACCAAGGAACCACTCCTCATTGACGCGGTCATTGGCAAAGTGGTGAAACGCAACCGTCGGAACTTCTCCGCCGCCTGGATAGATTACAGAAAGGCATTTGACTCGGTGCCCCATACATGGCTAAAGAGGGTCCTCGAGCTGTACAAGATTGACTGTACAGTTCGAGACTTCCTCGAGCAGTGTATGGGGCAGTGGAGTACGATCCTCTGTCATCTAGGCGAGCGGATGACGGCTGCGGAAAGCCGCATAAGGATAAGAAGGGGTATATTCCAGGGCGACTGTCTGAGTCCAATCTGGTTCTGCCTCTCTTTGAACCCTCTCAGTACTTTACTGGAGGGCTCCGGGAGGGGATTTCAGCTTCGGAAAGGAGGTACAAAAGTGACCCACCTTTTCTATATGGATGACCTCAAATTATTCGCCTCCAGTCGCTCCCATCTTATGGAATTGCTAAACATCACGTGTGAATTTAGCAATTCTATTAGAATGGAGCTGGGGACGGATAAGTGTGCGGTCCTCCATGTTGAAAGGGGAAGGGTTGCTAACTCTGAGGGCATAGACTTATCTATGCCCGTCAACTTAAGAACCCTTTCCGAGGCTGAAACATACCGATACCTGGGTATGTCACAGAACATCGGTATCGATGAGGCTGGTATGAAACAGTCAGTTTGCGACGTGTTTTATGCACGCTTGACCACAGTGCTTAACAGCCTTTTGTCCGGTGTGAATAAGGCACACGCATATAACGGTTGGGTCATGCCTGTCCTCATGTATACCTTTGGCATACTCAGGTGGACTCAGACTGAACTTAACGCCCTGGATAGAAAAGTCCGCACTACCATGACGTCCCATAGGATGCATCATCCGAGATCGTCGGTAATGAGGCTGTACTTGCCGCGGAAGCATGGTGGTCGTGGCTTCTTGAGCGCGCTCACCATGCATAATCGCGAAGTGTGCAGCCTCCGTGATTACTTCCTGGCGAGATCGGATGATCCATTCTATAAGGACGTCATTTCTTGTGATAAAGGACTTACCCCTCTATCCTTAGCCAACGAGCAATGGCAAGACCCGGCAGTGCAGAGCATTTCCGACCGGGAGACCGTATGGAAGGAGAAGGAGCTCCACGGGAGGTTTTACAAGGCTCTACATGAGCCTTTCGTGTCACAGTAGCCTCCCTCCACTGGCTACGCTTTGGTGATCTCTTCGGGGAAACCGAGGGTTTTGTCTGTGCAATACAGGATCAGGTTATTAAGACCAACAACTATCGGAGATACATCCTAAAGGATGGCACCGTCGACATCTGTCGAGCTTGTCGCCATCCCGGTGAGTCACTTAGGCATGTTATCTCCGGTTGTTCGGCGCTTTCTAACTCTGAGTACTTGCACAGGCACAACCTAGTAGCCAGAATTCTACACCAGGAGCTCGCTCTGAAATACGGTCTCGTGGATCGGAAATTGCCGTATTACAAGTACTTGCCGGAAGCCGTGCTCGAAAATGATCGCGCCAGGCTCTATTGGGACCGGGCCATCATCACAGACAGGACTATTCTTGCGAATAAGCCTGATATTGTGCTGATGGACCGGGCACAGTCAAGGATATTTTTGGTCGACATTACCATTCCGTATGACGAGAACCTCGTGAAAGCCGAAACAGACAAGCAAACAAAATATCTGGACCTGGCTCACGAGGTGACCGACATGTGGGGTGGTCTGCCGACCGAAATTATTCCTGTAGTCGTCTCTGCAAACGGGCTAATCCCAGTCAGCCTCTCGGGTCATCTGAGGCGGCTGGGACTACGTGGCGGACCGCTCCAGGTTCAAATGCAGAAGGCGGTGCTCCTCGATACCGCCCGCATCGTCCGCCGGTTTCTTTCCCTTTCCTCCTAACCCTCGGCCGTTTGGTCTCCCCTGCCGAGGGCCTCCATCTGGTTGGGCTTTTATTTATTTATGTACTTTTATATTTATTTTATGTTATTGATATTTATGTATATTTATCTTTTCATTTTCATTTATAATTATATATTTATAGAACCCAACCAGATGAGAAAACTATATAGATACCCCCATAATAATATTTCACAACTATCACACAACGCGATCTAGTCCCAAGCTAAGCAGAGCTTGTGTTATGGGTACTAGACAACTGATAAACATACTTATATATTTCTAAATACATAAGTATTATAGATAAATTACACCCAGACACAGAACAAATGATCGTGCTCATCACACAAACATTTGTCCTGGGTGGGAGTCGAACCCACGACCTGCGGCATAGCAGTCAGGGTCACTAATCACTAGACCAACAGGCCTGACGATAAATAAAATAAAGTCTCTAGCTCGAGAGGAGAGGAGCCGTGGTAGCTCAGATGGTTGGCGTTTGCTAAAATTTTCACAGTGTGCGAGCAAACCGGGTTCGATCCCCGCCGGCACCAATAATATTGTAATTGCAATTTTAAGTATTGATTTACCACGTGCTCAGTGGTGAAGGAAAACATTGTGAGGAAAGCTGCATGTCTGAGAAATAAGAAAAAAAATATTTCGAAGACATGCAAAGTTCGCCAACACGCAGTGGCGCCGATAATTCCTTTCCTAGGACCCTTTCAGAAAATAGAATAGAAATAAAAAAATAATAAATCCAAACTTCATTTAAAACCAAACATATAAATTGTAAAATAGCTGCAGGTATCTATAACCAAGTAAAAGATATTCCTTTACTCCAACTTGTCCATGTTTCCCAAAACAATTTTTAATTAAGCTTTATATTATAATGCAGATTTTTTATATTTAAAATTTTAATAATAAAGCATTTCGTACGTCTCAGCCGAGGCGCAAATATTTTTCGGCCGCAAATTTATAAGACCGATTTGTTATTCAAACATAAACATGGTTTTTTAATTAAATCTACCAATCATAAAACGACACGCATTTTTATTGAACACTTCCTATTCAATTCACAAAGTACCTATTATATTTGTTTATATAAAAAAGTATATTTAAGTACAATCATAAAACTAAATGGAAACACAAAGTAGGAAAATGCATTGAGTTATAAAACACATAAATCAATGGGCAAATGTAAAAATACTGGAGGCAGGCAGCCCTATCGCATGTTTACGTACCGCACGGCTGTAATATTTATTTCTAAGATACGGCCGAGTTACAATATACCGTGACGTAAGCGCATCGGTTGGTAGGTACTCAAATAATATTATGTTTGCGGCGAAATACGGAACGCGGCGACCAGCGACGCGGCCACCCCCTACGAACGCATACAGCGTAATGCTGCCCGCACTCTGCGCACGCCCCTTTATCATAGAAGTCACACAATTAAAAGAGAAAAACGAACTTAAAAATTTAAATAAAACGTGGAGAATATAGATTTTTTAATTATCTATCCATTAGTGTTATCCTCAAATGATTAGAGCGTTGCGTTTAGCAACAGATGCATGTAATCAAGAATTTTAGTCATTTTTTAAAAGTTGATTTTAAATGTATTTATAGCACATAAAAATAAATTAGAACGTGGAATGTGATGATAAGATATCGAACATTGATAATGTACTTTTAGATGTAGTTTATTTTTCATAACTAATGAGATAATAGAGTCTGAAAAACGCACTTTCGCAACATTTTGGTCAGGGATTCACCTTAACAACATTAGGTCAACATAATCGCTATTATTTTTTATAGTACCTTAAAGTTGACAACTCCACTAAAAGGCCGAAAACCAGCGCAACGACCCTACTTCAATGTAATTTTTTTCCGTGTATTTAGTTATAAACATATCTATTTTAATTATTTTATCAAAATACATGTAATGTTAAACATCCAAAAAAAGTTTTAGCTGGTTTTATTTTGTCAATTTTTTAATATATTTTAAAAATAATATAAATCATCACGCGCAGACGCCGTCCGATTCAGTACACTCCGGGTAATCCCAACGACAGGACGTATCACTTTTTCTCACCGACACCGCGCGATCGCGTTGATACACCGATAGGGATATACTACACTATATAACTAGCTACCTATAGCACCATCAAGCATTTTAAACGATTGAGACTTTTTAAGCGATATTTTTTGTAGTAAGTAATTTTGAAATATGTTTATGGTAATGGTAATATTTAAATAATAAATGATTTTATGGTAGCAAATTTACATTTCAAAACATACATATTTTTTTTAGAAATGGGTAATAAACATAAGCAATTCGGCTCTAGTAAAAATACAAAATCGTTGGCTTTCAACTTTGTCTCCGTGGCGGAGTGACTTGGTAATGAGTTGTAGCGCTGAGCGCCGCGGGTTCGAATCCCAGACGGAATAAAAATTTCTGTAACCTACAAATAATTTTTCCGGGTCTGTATGTTTGTCCTTGTGAAATTAATGTATTTAAACTGCCTCCACGATGTACTTAGGAAAAATTCTTAGTGTGGAGATAACGTTTTGATTAAACAAAGACATTAAAAAGATATGAGCCGTGCTTGAGTTGAGTAGCTCAAGGGCGAATTGTTCGCCATAAACGCGAGCAATCCGGGTTCGATCCCCGCCGACACTAATGAAATTGTTAGTTTGATGAATTATGTTTACATTATGAAACAGAATAATAGTTTATCAGATGATATATATTTTATATAGTACATATTAAGCTATTGCATAGCTTCTATCGCGGGCTTTGAGCGCGGGGACCGAATCCAGAAATTCCGTAACGAAAAAAACCTCACGCTCTCCACTCCTACGGGCACGGAGGTGTGGCGTTGAAAGCCGTGCATCGTCTAACGTCGTTTTAGTTCGGCAGACTTCGGCACTCGGCAGACTTCGGCACGGTGTTTGTGTGCGTGTACACTAGCTGCTAACTCAATGATAAAAATTCCTGAATAACCTA